AAATCAGGATCAGCTCGATAATCCAGGACCTCTCTCCATTCTGAGATCCTTTATTTGGTTATAGCTTCAAAGTTCTTTTTTCACATAAGGTGGTATATTCATACTTTTCAAAAATTAGGATGTACGTATGTCTGAGATTCCACCTACCACCCTTATTTTAATTATGTACTTCTTTAGGGCTTAAGGAAAATAAATTTCAGTGATTTATTACTAATATCACTATAATTTTTATCAGGATAAGTCAAAGTTGAGGGATGTCAGGTTATTTACAAAAAAAATGGCCACAAGATTTCCCTTCCTTTATCTGTAACTTTATGGAGCCTATTTCATATGGATTCTGGGTTTGGTTGAGTAATCTCCTTTGCCAATGGGAACATTGCAGAAGAGATGGAAACAGATACTTGAACTTACCTTCTCTTGGTAGATCATTCTAACTACCACATGAAGAAGCCCAGGTAGGTCTAATATGAGGTGAGATACTCATGGTTCAAGATACCAAACCAACAGCCAGCATTAGAGAAGATAGTACCAGTTAAGAAGTAGAAGGCACCAGGCACTTAAAAGAGGTCACCTTTGATTGTCCAGTCACCAGTTGACCTGATAAACTTCATGTGCACCAGCGAGGCCAGCAGAACTAAGTCAAGTGGGCTCAGATCAGAATGCCTGGCTGAGCAAGAGATCATGAACTAAATATGTGTTGAGGGGAATTTGTCATTTGGTAAAAGTGCCCAAGAGGGCAGAAGTTGAAGTCAAGGTGAGAACAAAACTGAGTTGAAGGAAAGTTCAGATGCATGGGAATTATAACAAAGATTACTTTTTAAAAACAAAATGCTAGACACATAGCTTTTTGGAAGCATATGCACTGGAAAAGTAGAGTTTACCGAGTCTATTCCTCCTTTCTCTCCTTCAGCTCTTTGTTTCTGTAGACATTCAGGGCATAAGAAATACCCCAGTAATCACATCACAGGAGGGTACACTATAACATGAAAACTCATTAAACACCCCATTTGGATTCTCTTATTTAATGGGAAACTCAAACCCCAAAAGACAAAATAGCTTATTCAATTTACACAGAAACTTGGCTGATGTTTGGTTTGTTTTCCATGAAATAAAAATACTTCTTGGCCAGTTTTGAAAGTATTGTTGTAAGCAGCCTGCAGGTGAACACAGTGCTTGGTTTTCTTTTCATTCCTATGTCTCCTGGTTGAATTTTAGTATGGTTATAGCTAGAGCAAGGAACTTGGTGACTAGAAGATAGTGTGATTCTTCCACGATCAGGACATGTAGACCTGGCTTTGTAAAGCTGTCCTCCCTCAGTCCTGGAGAGCCAACGAATCTAGTTCAGAGATCTCACCAATGGCGGCAAAGCCACTGGGCATAAAGAGAAGTGAGAGAACCAAAAAGAATAAAGAAGGGAGGAAGGAAAGGGATGATACAAAGGTCATTAATTCTTTGATTATTTCTTCCTTCAAAGAACTTTAGGAGACTGCTTCTTTATTCTTAATTTCCTGGTCTCCAAGGATCAGCCTAGCCTGGTATCCAGCAGGGTCCCCTTAGAGGTGGGAAGGTTGGACTCGATCAGGACCTAGTGAGCTCTGGTACAGTTTCCATTCTCATCTTCCGTATTTTCTTCCACAGGACACTGTTCCCAGCTGTCCTAGACTTGCTCATCTTTTCCACACCTTGTGCCTTTGTGTCGCCCTCCGCCTCATCCCCCATGTCTGCCTCATGCCTGGCTGTCATCTCCTAGCAGAGGCTTGCTGAAGCCTCCCTTGGCTCCTCCACAGTGAGATGTTTGTTTTCTCCTATAGTTTCTGAATTTGGTCCTGGTTTATGACATTAATTCTGCCGGCTGCGGCCACATTGTCATCTGGTGTCACCAGAAGTTGTACTTTTGAGGAGCTTTAGTAAAATTATTTCTGGGACTTGGCATTAGATTTCCTGACATATAGCAGTAGTTACAAGTTCTTTTATTCTTTGCATATAAACCTTCAGGTTTATGTGGCCTTACCAAAGAAACAGGATTTTACGGTCGGCCTTAAAGAGTGTTTTCTAGTGTCCTTAGTAGAAGAGAACTGTAAAGCAGATGTGTGTGCATTTGGAAACAGCAAGGTAAATTAACTCTTGGAAATTGTGTCACCAGTCTAATGCGAGCCACTCACCTTGGTAAACTTTTTGAAGGCAGGTGACATCTACATTTAACAAAACAATCTTACCAACAGCTTCCCAAAACCTAGTAGCCTGATATGGTTCATAGATTCGGGAAAGACTTAGTTTGTAAGGCACCAAGCATACTACTGCTTACTTGGTATGATTAGCATATGGCTTTTCAATTAACTTGCCTTTAAATAACAGAGGCATATCCTTCAAATACCAATCGGATTCTACAGGAGGTCTTTGTATCTTGCTGTCAGACTAGTTCTGCCTTTCCAACTTCTGAAATCTATTTCTAATAGTTATGATATAAAACTCTTATTCAAAAAGATGCAATGAAATGTAATTGGAAAGAAACCTGAAAAGTTCAAAATATAAAGAAATTGCTTTTATAAGGTATATAATAAGGCACCATTGGTTAGAACCTAAAGATTGATCATATTTTGACCTAAATTTCACTCTTGCACTAGCTATAACATAAAACATTATTATAAAAATGGATAAACAGATGAGGGGGAGCTGAATAACTTATTTATTTTCTTTTTTTTGTTTGTTTCATTTTTTTTATTGGTACCAGGGATTGAACTCACGACTGCCTGCTTGCAGGGCAGGCACTTATGCCTCTGAGCTAAATCTCCAGCCCCATGAATAACTTATTTAAGAGGTCCAATATTTTGAAGCCCTTGAGTAATACCAGCTTTGGTAAAAATTCAGTATGTCAATTAAGAGACATTTATTTAGCGAAGCAGGTGATGTTGGCTTTTTATTTCTCAATATATTGGAAGTATAGTTGACGTTTGATTTACTAATTGTAATAAGTTGGTTTTAAAATGTTCTGTATTTGTGACTTGTTAGCTAACACTGCTAAGATTTTGCCATATTTTATAATTTTTAGGAGGAGTGTTTTCTGCTTTGCCTTAGTGGGAAATGGCTGCTGAGTATGTAGGAGGGTACAGAAGACTTCAGCCAGAAGACACTGTGATCATCTGAAGCTCTCCATCCCTGCAAAATTCTCCAATTGGGCTTAAGAAGGGGTTCTGATTCAGCAAACAGCTAATTAGACAAAAGAAAAGCTTTCAGCAGGCCTGTGATTTGGAATGCATTTTCCTTGGTTCCCATCTTCCGGCGATGCTCTGCCTGGCTCCCCAAGCCTCTGATCTGGGAGAAGTACCCTGGACAGCTCCTAAGACTTGTGAGTAAGACCTGGCCTGGAAACTGACTATTCTTCCTGCCTGTCAAAATAACGGTACCAAAACTAAGTTCAGATGTGATGAAGAGGAATTTGCAAGACTCCAATTTATCACATATTAACTGAGGATCAAAATTTCTTAGCTGTTATTATACTATACTGCAATTAGTAGGAAAAGCTTCATCAGCTGAGTTTATGTGCAGTGGTTTTAAGTGGGTAGGTGACGAACTTGGAATTGGAGGATGTCTATCATATGGGTCGTTATATGACATTTATCTTTTTGTTTTTAGGTCTTGTTTTATCTTTGGCTGTTTGTATAATTACAATGGTTATTTTTGGCTTCTAGAAACCACATAGTGTTGTGTTAGCATTATGATCCATTGGAAATTTCACCAGTGCTTGGAGAGTTTTTCCCTTCGTAGGTAGAACTTACAAGAATATGTGGTGCCATCAAGCTTCCAGAAGGAACACAAAGTGTTAATGATGTAAAATGAATTTGTTAGCGACTCCTCCCAGAGCTATCATAATGAGCTGGAGATTAATCTACAGGTCTGTTGCCTGACTAATGACAAGAAGGAACATTTATCTAAGTAAGAAAGCTTGAAATCTCCCATGAAGTTATGCTATTAAGTCATAGGATTTTATTTCTCTCTACCTGGCCTAATTAGCTGTGGCTCTGACTGTTTTTTTCAATGAAACGAAACCTGATACTCCAAATTCGTCCGTGTTAGGTCCCTTGTTTTGCTTTTCCTTGTGCGAAAGCTTCAAGATTTAAAACAATTCTAAAATTTTAGGAAGGAAAACAACTGGAATCACAATGTCTTTTGTTTTCCTGAGAATGATAAAGAAATACTAGCTTACTGAGCTAAAAATAACAAAAAGTCAGATACCTCAAATGGACTCTTGGAATAAATCGTGCCATACCATTGGTAATAGTATAAAGCCTCCATTAAACACAAGGAATACATCTGATTTCTTTTTAGGTCAAACACAGCGGGCTGAATATAGTGAATCACTTAGTACTATACATTTCAATTTTTCTGAGAGTAAATTTCTAATGTTCTGATCACGAAAATGTTAAAGAGGTGATAGAATGTTAATTACCTTCATCACTCCATATTACAAAATCAGAACATCACTTGGTAGCCCACAAATATGGTTTGCCAATATATAATGCAATAAATAAAAGAGCAAAAATATTAATATAAAAACTATTACTGAGAAATCTCCATTCATGACATTTTTGAGAAATCAGTGGCCCAGTAGGCACAATTTGATGTCACTGGAACAGAGAGCTGCTTGAGTGGTATTGTGTTCTAGGCATATGGTACTTTTATAAGATTAATGATAGAACAGTGGTTATGTCACAGAATGCACTATTTGAAGAATTTGCTCTGATGGTTCGCGGGGAAGAAAAGCAAAGGGAAATATAAAACCAGGCTCCTTTTGTTTGACTTCGTTGTTGGTGGGGGAGGAGAGGTGATGGACACACAGATCTAAGGCTCTACCTGGAGAGCCAGCACACAGTGAATGAGGAGCCACCTGCCAGCACAGATCGGTGTCATTCTTGTATCATGCTGGGACAACAGCATTATTGATAATTCAGAAGAAGAGATGTGTGCTAGGGCCGTGGCTTGAGAAGCAATATGTATCAACATTGGTGGAGAAAGGATTATTTATTTAGAAAAGTTCACCATCAAATGATCAGACAGGATCAATAAGTCAGAGAAAACCAACACATTGCAGGAAAGGACAATCCACTGTAATTTGTGGATTTCTCTAGGCATCTTACTAGGATGCTGAACAAAACCCTCACAAATATCTTCCATTGGATAACTCAGTATGGTTGTGAAAAGTCCACGTTTTTGTTGCTTTTATACCTCTTTCTGTATTTTTTGAATTATATTTAAGCATAATATAGTGTATCTGATATTGGAAAGGCACCTAATTTAGCATTAACTCATTTAGTGAAAAGGTGAGCCATATATTTATGTTAGTAATGGCAACATGTAATAGCAATATGTAACTTGATCATTTCTGATCAAGATTGATATATTTTAGTCACTTCTGAAGCATCAGCAGCTTTCAGCACAGAGGCCACACAAGTTTTCTAATCTTATTTGTTTAATTTCTCTGCTGTCTGCCTGTGGTTAGAGGTGCGGGTGAAATTGTGATTCTTCTCTGTTTTGATTCTTTTAACGTTTTCCTGGCTCTCTGTCGTATAACAGCAACTGCAAGAAAATTAATTTGAACAAAGTTGTAGAAGAACAGCACTACAATTCTTTGGGGGTGGCTATTATTACTTGATTTCCAGATGGTTTAGGTTTTAAAAAAATATACTCAACCTCACTTCATAAATACATTTCACAAGAGTATGGAAATCCAACCAAGAAACGAATCTCTTCAGGTGCCCTCACATAAAGACCTTCCACCTGAAAAGCCAGCAGGGGTGCATAAAAAAAAAATGAGTATTTTTTAAAGTTGCACGTAGAGTAATTTTAATCCATTTTGCTTTTAAATACCACAATAATTTTAATTTTCACAATAAATTAAATAGTCGTATTCAGTTTACAAAATAGAATTACTTAGTGTGAAACCAGTATTTACAATATACACTATGTACACCGCATTTCTCTTTGTTGACATACAACACAGAAGTAAAAGGACGTGACTTTCCAATATGTAACTGACATGCTCTGGGTGACATCATGGTCCAAGTGAGAAAACAACAGTGCAAAATCACTAGGGGACTTTTGGAACAATGTGAATTCTACGAGCTAGGACATTCTTTTAAATAATAAGAAAATAGCATTTTTTGTTTTCCCGGCATCAATTCAGGATCTGAATTACAAAGCCAGGTCTCAGAAAAAAAAAATGCGTCATTGAATCCTCTACTTCCTGAAGCTTCACAGCCATTGGTACATTTTCACACATTCATCTTTTGGCTTAAATCTATGAAAACGGCGGGTGACAAGTTCTGAATCAAAGGAAGACTAACTCTTTGAGGACAGCTGAAGTCACCTTCACTCTATACCACGACCTCTTCTCTTTTTGTAAGTAGTGTAGGAGATGCAGCTATGCAGAAAGCAATTTTGTTTTTGTTTTGCGCTTTGTAATTTTTCAGTAGAAACAGGACGGATCTTATATTTGGTCACACACTGCGTATGTACAAGTATACATGGAAAAAGGACTTGGGTAGCTGTGTCTAGGAAAGTGTATATCTAATCTAGAAGGGACACCGTGTATCTGCAGACACAACACATAGTGTTGTACGACGTATTATTTTAGGGCCAGTTCAATGTCCTCCCTGTAATCTGGTAAAATTTTTGATTAAAGGGGTGGAAGAATTTGCGCAATTTGGTAACGACAGAGGGGTCCACCTCTGGATGAATGCGTCCCTTGCTGCCCGCCAGGCACTTATTAAAGATAATGTTAAATCGCAAGCAGTAAAACCCTCTGGTAGCATTGAAATATAAATTGTACTGACTTATTCTTGGAGGGAGATTTAGGAACTTCTCGACAAGCTGAAGTTCAGGCAGAGGCTCTGTGATGAGACGATCTCCATCCACGATGTGAAACTGCTCGATGGGAAAGTATTTCAACCACCTCTCCAGATGTTTTGTGTAGATGCTGGTTCTCACGGCTTTGTATTTTGTGTTCACTTCACAGGTATTAGGGTCTATGGCTAGCTTCTCAAACTTGTAGTAGGTTTTGTTTTTCCTCTCCTTCCCTTCTAGCACCTGAGTATAATCGGAAATAGCTCTTGTGGTTGGCTCCCTGACAATGATCAACAATTTGATGGACGAGTTCATTTTGTAAATCCTTTCCGGAACCTCCTCGGTGATAAAATAGGCTGGGCTCTTTTCAATGGTGATTTGCTGTGGGTATGAAAAGGGCATCTTTTTCCTGTACCACTCAATGCCCTTGGCATAATTCTCATCATTGTCAAAGAAGTGGATTTCTTGAGAGGCTTTGACCACCGCCGGGTGGAGGTTCAGCATTTCTAGAAGGGCCCTCGTGCCTCCTTTCCTCACCCCGATGATGATGGCCTTGGGGAGCTGCTGGACTAGGTCATGGAGGCGAACCTGCTCCTTGGAAGTATTGCCCTTTCGAAACTCATGAAGTAGGCCACGCTTAAACTGCAGGGCACGAAGTGGGAATTCGGCCTGATTGCTGGTTCCACCAAATCGGCCTTCAATGGGGCAGATAGGTTGTAGCCTGAAAGCAACAGAGAGATATTGTAAGAAGATCATTATAACAACTTCTTGTTTTTCTGGTTTCTTAGTCAGATGAATACTTCCAATGCATAAATAAAACTACTGGTTCCCAGCTTGCTGTAATCCATAATGAACATATGTTTGGGAAATTTTATTTTAAGCAACCCTGCATTACATGGAGCCCACATAATTGGTGGGATTTTTTTATTAGTGCTCCTTAAAACCTTTATTCACCAACCATTTAATTGACTACAGTATGTACTTATGCTCACAGTACAGGACAGACAAGTGACATCAGGCTCACTAACAGCTCTTTAACAGCTCACCAGTTAAAATCATTTGGAAAATATGAAAGGCAGAAGATTATAATCTTTTTTTTTTTTGAGATTGTAATCTTTAGTAAGAGGCTGACGGGTAAAGAAGAGGCCGTTTGGTTGGGTTTCACATCATATTGTTTTCTTGAAGCACAGTGACACTCTACATCATCCCTAAAAATCTCTAAGATATAACCTGAAAAGAATTCCCAATCTCTCCTTTTGCCCATCTGCATTATCAGCCCACAAAACTCCAACCCTGGAACTTTCATTCTATGAGAAGTTTTGCCTGTAGCTTTTGTTTTCCCTCCTTGTCTAAGGAGGTCAGGGTTCCGTTTTCATTCTGAACATAGGAACAAACCCAGTAACCACCAACAAGTACCATCATGTCACTGCTGCTTCTGCAGCTAGAAATCAACAAGTCCTTGATGGACCAGAAACCTCAGATTTTCACTGCCAAGTGCATTTAAACCAAGGACTAGAATTCATGAAAAGGCAATGCAGGCAACAGAGCCAGCAAATACGATTTTCACCTCAACATTACCCCATGTGATGGACAATCAGCTGTATTTTCTGAAAGAGAAGGTTATATTAATGGTCACAATGATATTAGGTGAGAGCAGTGATATAATTTGATGTGACCAATGTGTATGGTTAAAAATTGTGTTTCCTTTTACATTTAGTGTGAAATGAGCTGATATTCATTACAATTTCCCTAAATTGATCTGGCAAGGTATTTTAATTTTCTTTGCAAAGGAGGGCTAATACTAATCTAAATGGCTATTAAACCAGTTTCAACAACTGAAAGCTTCTAGTTTTCCTAGTAATTTGAAGTCTATTTTTATCTTTCTGTAGTGATGAGATTATTGCTTGCTTTTCCAAAGAGAATCTACTGTATCTCGAAGCTATGCTAAGCTTATTTTGTAGAAGGAATTTGCTTGGGCAAATGATGTTGTTCTGTTCTCTGTTTAAGTAGCTATCAAGGTACTTAAAGAAAAATAAACATAGCTTACTTTTTCTAGTATTTGTTTTTCAAGATTTTTGAAATAATTTATTCTTGTTGTGGAAAGTATGAAAAATGAAAAACTATTAGTCACACAGGGTTTACCACAGTTAATATTTTTGAGAAACATGAATTTTATTTTTGTAAGTTTGTTAATGATATTAATATGCTAGGGCTCCAAAGGGAAGCCATAAAATTTATCAGCACAGGGGTTGGGGATTTAGCTCAACGGCATAAGTGCCTGCCTTGCAAGCAGGCAGTCCTGAGTTCGATCCCCGGTACTGATAAAAAGGAAAAAGACAAAAAAATTATCAGCACATATGCAAATACTTTTTATTGTTCAAATGTTTTATTTTATCACAATAATTGACACATATTGATGAAACAATATAATATATATTCCTTGGTGACCTTTTCATAATACTCAAACATATTTTTAACTGTGAAATCGATTAGTATACTATAATGTCATCTTTCAGCTCTTCCTGGGTTCTGGCTGAGAATCAAGCTCTATTTGTTAAGGCACCCACTGATGGAGTTATAGCCTCTGTGTCTAGAATGATGCTCGTATTGTGCCTGGGAGAACAAAGGAAATACTCCTGCAAGCTTTTTTCTGAAGAATTTGATTCTTTCAAGGAAGCCTGGCTAAAAGAGGCTCTGTAGACATGTCTGCCAGCACTGAGCAGGGATGGAATTTCCTCATCTCTAGAAAGGATCAGTTTCCTTCCTCACTTCTTTCTGCTTCCTTCCCTGGCAGATGGCACCTCCCAACACAATTGCTTTTTGGACTCCCCCGCTCAACAGAATGTGTTCCCTACATGCTGGAGACCAGATTTTGATCATGAATTCCGAACTGAAAATCTTGCAGTAAAATTGGAAGGGACAATGGAAGTAATCTCAGCCTTCTTCCCAACTATCAGGATTTTCAGCTGGTAAAGGATAAGTCTAATGACACAGATGTCACTTTCAGATAGATTCATATCTGTCGAAACTCTCAAGTGAGGGGCACATATGATTCCTTCCATAAAAAAAGTTATCCCACTGCAAATTAGAGAATATATTAATAAGGAAAAAAATCATCAACTAAATGATGACTAATGGCTGTTAGATCACTTAGTTAAAGAGCAAGAGATTGGAAGTTAATTAAAAATATCAGGAATAACTGATATGACATTCTACTATGGTCAGAAGACAATGGAACCACTGTAAGGTGTTTTTTTTTTTTTTTTTTAATCAGTGCTGTTTTAGGAAACAGGTTGATGTAGTGACTTCAAGTGATAGCTTTCCATATACTTCTTCCATGGGAGGTAACAACTACAGAGGTTTACTGAAGAATTTTGCATTGAAAAATATCAAAGGAATTCGTTTTACCAGTCAGAATTGACACTGGCTGAAGGAAAGTAAATACAAGAACTATATATTATTTTTGAATATCTGAATAATAAGGTACAACAGATGAGCTTGAGTTTTGTAAAAAAAAAATCTGAAGGCACATATTTTCACTTTAACGGATAGTTGTGTTTTCACAGACAGTGGGAATTGAGCTCAAAGAAGGCACGTGTCAGTCTTTGCAGTACAAGAATGAATTTTAAAGAGAAAGAAAGAAGCTTCACATTTCTGAAATTAACTCCTCTGTTCCTGCCAATCAAACTGAATGTAGAACAGCCCTCAGGCACTTAATGGACAGTCAGCTGATATTGCTGTGACGTCCGCAGGTCTAGTGCCTCTCAACTGTTTGCATATTTAGAATAAAACCTGGCTCTGTAATTTCCCCTCCACGGATTTTTTGCTGCCTTCTGGGCAATTACTCTGAGCGACAGCCTCCTTGTGTGATGTGTTCAGCTCCTGAAACCAGAGCTAATTAACATAGTTAAAAATCCGTGCCTGAAGCCATCTTTCCAGGGCAAGGGATTGCAAACTTGATGAGCTCCATTATGGAACATACATAATTTTAACACTCCCGAGAGCACATTCTCTGTCCACTCATAAATTCCCCAATGAAGAGGAGACACAGTTATATGAACACTGTTTCGCCATATCAGAGGTCCACACCAGCTGCACAAGGATTGTACTGTGTTCTAGTAAACATTTTACTTATCTGTTTATTATTTTTATTCTACATAGCTCTATTTCTTCTCAGAAAACAAGGGTAAACTACACAGAATACAAATGAATCTTGAAGGAGCACCGTAGTTTGAGCAACTTGGGTTTCTTTTGTTTAAAGTCTCTACAAATCAAAATCAAAATCTCTATAAGTCAGCAAAGCATGGTTTTTGGGGGAATTTTGAGAGAAGAAAACAAATACACAGACTTAAACGGACGCCTAAGAAAGTTTCAGTTGAGAGCCATGAAATCCTAGAGGCATGAGCGTGTATTTAACCACTCACCTATCCAAGCTCCCAACTCTGGCAACTAGATACAGCAGACTTCCAACAGCAAGGCTTCCCAGCACCAGCAGCTTCTGTCTCAGCCACACCTGCTGTTTGAATAGCATGGCCCTCCATCAACCTTCAGGATGGCTGCAGCCTGAGACAGGGAGAGAAGGTACTTGTCAGCAGGCATCCTGACTGGCTGTGGTGATGGTCACAAATCCAACCAGAGGTGGAAAGACAGGCGATTAAGGGACATTGCATAAAAAACAGACCCCATATCAACCTTGGCAATTTGGGTAAACAGGTATTTAGCAAAACTTACCTTTTTTTTTTTCGTGGTCAGTGCTACAAGACCAACTATTAATTCTAGGAGGAAGATATTTTTAGAATAACAAGGTGAATTTGGCAATCCCAGTTGAGTACAGTTCATTCTGGAAATAACGATGATGCATTTTGCTTGCATGGTTTTGTTTTGTTTGCTTGTGAATCAGGAAAAGGGTGCGATCAAAAGTGACTGCTGACTGAGCTCATCAGTGTCACCATGGGTCCCCCACGCTGGAGGACACTGACTCTGCGGCTCTTGATGTTTCTGTTCACTTTTCCTGTCCAGTCCTGGATTCTGAAAACGCACTCTGACTAGATGCTCAGTAAATGTAACAGGTCTCTCTCTTACATTCCAGTAGATGATTTATTCTTTTGTACCTGAAATAATGCTTGCTGAGGAATGCGAGACTTTCCCAGGGCTTTTATTAAATTTTAGGGAAGAAGTAGAAACTCCCAATTCAAACTTTCTTATTAAAAATAAATCTAATCCCCCTTTGAAGATAAGATTGTTCATTTCTTATTGAAACTCAAAATACTAATTCAAGAAAAAGAAAGGTAAGTGATGGTTAGAAGTTGTTTTGTTGCAGCAGAATGTCCATATTTGTTATGGGAGGATTTTCTCTGTGCAAAAGGGGTGAACCAGGATTGACTGACTGATACATTTTTTTCATTCATCAAGAAATATTAGAGGATATACATGAGAGAATTAAAAGAAAACTATTGTAAGAGTTGTAGTCCTTGGAAAATTAACCACATGACGGCGGGATTATGAAACAACTTGAGAACACAACTCAATTCACGTTGCAGAAACAAAATTAAGTAAAAAGTCAGAGCATAGGGATTCTATCAGAGTTTTGTTTTTGTTTTTGTTCTTTAGGGATGCAGTATGCAGATTAGTGAAGAGACCATAGCAGAGCATCCCAGGAACAACAGTTACCTGACAGATAGTTGACAAATACTTAGGGAATATGCCTGGGTACTAGATTCTGGTTTTGTACTGGGTGCTACAAGCAGTAGTGGTCAAGTGATGAGACACAGTTCTTGCACTGTAGGAATCCGCAGTCTAATGGAAGCTCTGGACTTATGTATGACAATACAATTCATCAGATACAGATGAACTGTAATAACATAAACCAGTTCTTACAAACTGTACTGAATGGGACAAAGGGAAATCGTAGGATCTAACAGAAAGAGTAACTGGGGGAGTCTACATCGTAACTCCCTGAAGGACCCAAGACACCTGAGCCAGTACTTGGAGAACAGCTGGAAGCAAGAGACCAACAAACTGGAGTGTGGGCAGAGGAACCACCCAGCATAAAGGGGATGGAGGGAGAAAACACCTGACCTCTTTGAGAAGTGAAGGAGGGCAGGGCGGCTGGACACAGGAATAGAGCAGGAGGGGGAAAAGGTTGCAGGCAAAAGCGAGAAGGAACGCTAGGAATGATCTTTGCAGGGGTCTTTGTGGGCTTGCGCTCTGACTTAGCAGGGCTCACCTTATGCTCAGTAAAATGGGAAGATGAACCAGAAGGAAAATGAGATTCACTGAAGTCTACTATGTGGTAAGCTCATTGTCCAGGTGGTGTCCCAGCACCTAGTGAAAGGGAGGGAGTTACTTCCATCCCATAGACAGGTGAGGCGAAGTCATGACGTTTTCTTCTTTGTGCTGGTCACACATTGGGCGGGTAACAAGAAGGCCATGACAGTGACCCGTGTAGAGTGGTTCAGAACATCACTGCATCAATCTCCTTTGCACTGATGTCAAAGCCTTCGGTTACAGCCACGTGCGTTTAGCCCAGGGCTCAGAGCTCTGTTGAAATGCAAGTCCTGGAGCAAGATGCATAACCAAGTGGCAGAAAAAGAAGGACCGAGTTCCCCAATTAAACACCCTCTTAGTAGCCACGTCCCTGAGCTTAGAGTCTCTGGGATTTCCTTTCTTAGCCATAAGACAGGACAAGCTCTGACCACCCTGCTCTATGGTGCGGGGGTGAGAAGGAAGTGAGGGCTCTATATGTAATATCACACTAAAGTTCATATCCTTCACAGATTAGTGTGGAGGAATTTGACGTGCACTCCAGAGGAGTGGTGTGACAGGACAAAGCTATCCTGTGGCTGATTCTGGGAGTGAAGACAAATGTGAGGTCAGAACATGCTTCAGTGGGACAGAGGTCACCAGCTTACACAAGGGATGCGGTACAGAAATATTGGAAAGCTATCTAAAAAGGAGTCCCTATACTCTTCTGCATCCCACAATGCATTACCCACTTTAACCAGATCATTGGTCCATCTGTCTCCTAAAGTTGGAGTGTGGGGCATGTGAGTATGCGGCAGTTCCTCTGGGGGTCTTCTGTAGCTGATGCTTCAGTCCAGTCTTCCTCCACCTCCACTGGACTCTGGTTGTCATAGAACTGTAGTCAGGTGTTTCATTGTTCATGAACGTTTGCTGTCTGTGTGCATCCCCACTACCTCCAAGCCTTGGGCTAAACCTGATGGCTAAGTCAGAAGTGCTAGAAAGGTAACTGGAGGACACTGGGCCCAGAATCAGTGCACTTTGCCACACAGTGCTTCTCCACGGCAAGCTTGCACAGCCTTCAGGAAATACCCACCCACTGTCAATCTCAGAGGTTCTAACTCAATCAGTTCTGCATTCATCTTACATTTATAGTATCAGCAGAAAGCCACAACATTTAGTACTGTTTTCTACCATCTTTTTTCTCTTCAGTCACCAATGCCAGTAAACCATTTTTCCATATTTCCTTCTTGCATTTTATTTCTTTTCAGGCATTTAGTTATCTCCATTATTTCTGTTCTCAGTGTTCACTCCTTTCTTAGTTATTTTCTTGCTGCTGAGACTCAGTGTCCGACACTCAAAGTTAAAGGAGAAAAGGTTTATTTAGTTCACAGTTTGTGGAGGTTCCAGTCCATAGTTGACTGGCTCCAAGGCAGGATGGCACATGGCACAGAGGCATCATGGGTAGGCAGAAGACAGCAAAACAACAAGCAATGACAGCAACAGAATTGGCAGCAACAAAAGCCTTCTTTTATCCCTTTGTATGTCCATCCAGGCTACCCATCCTTTAGATGGTACCACTTATACCCAGGTGGTATGGAGGTGCCCTTAATCCCAGCATCAGATCCTTAATTGCAGTGTGTTCTCTCTATCCTGTGAGCTCTGAGAAGCCCCCCTGAGTGCATGAAGCTTTGGGGAAACATCTAGACACAAGCCATAACGATTTCCTTGTGCATGCACAACTTGATTAATCTTCCTAACGTAAGTTATTCTGTCCTTTGCCTGTTTTGGCTTGTTCACTATGCAAAGTCCAATTTCTTCCCGTGGAAAGCCTAGCCCTTTCTTCTGAGGTCCCAGCTTCTTTCCCTCTTAGCAGGAATTCGTCCTGGCCTCTGTGCCTGTGAAGTCCACCTCTTTAAGCTCCTCATACAGCTTCACTTTCAACTTGATGCTTTTGTCAGCTTCCTCACTGACCTGGAAGGACTTTTCTACGCTTCCTCCTTGAAAACTTGCAGATCCTACTGAAATCTTCCTGGGAAGGATGGTCTCGGTGGATATGGAATTTGGGGGCAACTTTAATACACTTCCTATTGCTATGCAAGAACACATCAGATGTACCAGGTAGATAATTACGGGACCAAATGGTAATAGCTGAGGAATAAACTATGAAGACATTTGCATGTAGGGGATGACTGAGCTCTGCTTAGAGTGAGCAGGTGGGGAAAAGAGGAAAAAAGTGACAGAAAACGTGAAGGCTACAGAGAATTAAGGGACTCCAACAATAAAGGTATCAGCCCCCTATTGTGATGCTCATGCCATCTGTACACACTAGACTGGGGTGGTGAACCCACAGCACATATTCTACAGCAGGCACACAGACACCCTGCTGTTGGCTCACAAGCCAAGGGCACAAATTGTTTTTCTAAACTAAAACCTCAGCATTCAGGTTTAATTGACGTGCTGGTGTTGTGATAAATATGTGAGTTTTGCGTTGCAATCTGGGCACTTGGTTTCCAAAAGGTTCACCATTACTGCATTAGTCTATTAAACCTGACTCAAGGTAAGGTTATTTTTTCCTACTCCCATTAAGAATCTTTTGGGTCCATTTATATATTCTCTCTTTACGATCAGTCCTGTTATTTCCATAGAGGTTTTGCTTTACGGAATAAGCTTCTGCTAGCCATCCAGCTTCCTGATGCCAGAGATGGGGTTTTCTCTCTCTGGGAGATCTAATCAGCTTCTTATTTATGTGTAGATCCAACTTCTTATGTCGCCTCATCATGTCTGGTGTATTATCTCCAGCAAAGTACCTTCATGTCTACGTTGATGGAGAGAAGAGCTACATTTTTATCTGACGTCTCAACTACTCCAAATAAGCTGCTCCCGGAGAAGTGCAAAGACATTGGATTAGAAGTCAAAAACCTGTGTCGCATTTGGTTTTGTCATAGAAACCTTCTGAATTCTGTTGTCATTGTCAGTAAAATGAAGATAATAATCCCTGCATTGCAGGGTTGTCATGACACGAATGCTGTAAGTCACTGTGGGATGGAATTTTTGATCAGAGCACTTTTCAAAAATGAGGTGTGATTAATAGCTTTAGGAGACAGATGAATTAGTTCTTGAAATGCATTTTAAAGAGGAAAAACTAAAATGCAATTCTCATGAACAGTATAATTTGGTTGTAAAACATGAAGACTATTTTAAGAATAAACAACTTAATGGAAACACCTATTAGACAAAAAATACTGACAGTATACTGTAGTTTCTGTTCAAAGCAGGATGATCAGGGAGGCTTGTGTGTACATATACACATGTACCCAGAA